CACACACACACACACACACACACACACTTTCATATCACTGATGAATGTTTTGAAGTCGGTTCTTCCTGCAACAAGGAAACATCCCTTCAAGCTCAGCTCCAAACACACACACAAACGCACACAAACAGACACACACAATGATGTGATCCATTGCAAATATATATCGTGTTGTTGTCTGCAGCCGTCAGTGACAATTACAGTAAGAATTTTGAATCTTAAAGTGGAAACAGTTTGAATGTGTTGTTTCAGCTCTCAGGCTGGTGATGACCTCTGACACCCGTCACAACAGGAAGTCCACGGGTGTAATTAACAATATTAATGATGGTTTCCAGTAAAGCGACATGTACAACATCGGGACTCTGTTGTTATTTCACCTGCTCTATGACTGTGTGCAGTGAACAAAAGATCCATCGATGGATCAGCTGTAATTTCATTGTTTCACCAGTTAAACAGTTTTACTTTAATCTCAACTCTGGCAGAAACCTCAACATTTCCAAACACACTGTACATTTATATGTAGTTGACAAAACCTTAAAGATACATGTGTAGAATAACACACAACTACACTTGAACTTGATGAAACATATATTTAACTAAACATAAAGTGGCAGCTCAGCTCAGTTCACGTGTCTCTCTCCTCTGTGGCAGCTCATCAGGGAGAGTTAACTCATCTCAGCTGGGCCAATCAACTCTCCTGCTTCACCTGCTCCACACACACACACACACACACACAAATGTATTGAGGCCTTGGAGTGACAGCTGTAGTTTTGAGACCTGACGCCTGCAGACACCTCAAGTCTTTCAAAACAACATCCTGAAATATATAAGCAGTCATGACGTTTCATAACGTGTTCATAACATCAGTGTGAGGCTCCTTCTAAACAAACCGCAGGACTTTGGCTGACATTGACCTCGATGTTGCTCCAGACTTCTTACATCAGCTACTTTGTTTTTGTACTGTTACGTAACTTTTATGGCCTCGCCATATGCACTGTGTGTGTGTGTGTGTGTGTGTGTGTGTGTGTGTGTGTGTGTGTGTGTGTGCATTGTTGAGAATGAGGAGAGGAAGTGGCGCACTTTCTCCAGGAGACACGTCCCCACTGGCTTTATTTTTATAATCATAATACGTCAATATCATCGCAGTGCAAACACTTAGTATAAAATATCATCTTTAACAAAATGTACATTCACATAAAACATCTCAATAAATACATCTTCAACAAAAAAACCACAAATATCTGATCATTCATAAATATCTCTGAAAAAGACCATGTACAGTAATATCTATCAATACATATGACAATTGAAACCCGTATCATACAGTATGAAAATATCCAGTTTACAGGAAAAAATATTGTACATAACTCGTTTCTATCAACTTTCCTTCAAATTGAAAGCAAGTGTATAAAAATCCTCATTTTTCACCGAGAAACTCAAAGTGAGCGCTCACGCTCTGATAGAGACTTTAAATCTATTTTAAATATGATACGAAGTACAACAACGTCATCTCGATCAGGTTACGCTTCTAGATAAATCTCTCAAAGTCAAACACATCGCCATCGTTTGTGAAATTGTTACAAAACGGTTGAGGAAACAGTAAAAATGCATTCGACAAACAAAAGGAAATCCACAAGAACTGCAGCCACACATTCAGTCGTGCTACAGCCTCGACACGAGAACTTTGATATGTATGAAAATAGGTTGGCACATTTGATAAACCGGCTACCTGTTGACTAAAGCAGGAGCGGGGAAGGGGGAAGAAGAGAAGGAAGAGGAGGAGGAGGAAGAAGAGGAGCCCCCGGCCTGATGTCAAACTTTCCTGAAAATTTGTCCTTGAAAAAAGGTTTTGCACACCAAGCTCATGAAGAAGAAGAAGAAGAAGGAGAAGGAGAAGAAGAAGAAGAAGAAGAAGAAGAAGAAGAAGATGGGTCAAAAATAAAAGTAAAAGCACCTTACATTCAAGAGGACCGCTACTGTCAGCGCATGCACGAGGACGACGTTAAACCAGAGTCACTGTGTGTCTGCTGCTCGGCCTGTCTCATCAAAAAGCATGCATGTAAAAGCCACTGGCTTGCAGGCAGTGCATGCTGGGAATGATTAGAGGAGAGTTAATGGCTGTGGTAAGCAGTACTGTTGAGTAACATGCTATACCATGAAATAAATAATCTGGATTGGTGTGAGGAAGCCAGACACGGATTCCTCCTCTCGACCAAAAGCAGCTTTTAGTTCATAAAAATAGGAAAACAGAATATTTGAACAATAGAAAATATTTCTTCGTAAACAAGCGAACAGGAAATAAAAAGTAAAATTTTTTAAATAGAAGTCCATGAGGAAGGAATCACACGATACGGAAAATAGTTTTTTTCTAAGTCATGCTTCAACTCCACAGAGATACACATGTGTGTGGCGATGCACACGCTATTGGCTACATACACGATCAGGTGGAAGGATCCAGCCGGCTACAGCATGCAAAGGGTGAGGAGGCTGAGAGAGGAGACGGTTTATTGCTACACTTTGACGAGGAAGAATCTGGAAGTCAAGCATCACAGGGAGAACAGACGGACGGCGAAACGTGACTGAAATGCAGCAGCGGCATCATGCACTTAAAGACGCCGAGGCGAGCGGCGCGGGGCCGCGTGCCATCAAAGGGTTTCGGCGAAGGGGGCAGAAACCTGCCGTCGCTACCATCCCGGATAATGATTGAAGGCAATGCCCTGTTGTGTTTCGGCAACTTTAAATCAATAAAACTGCCTTTTACAATTATACATTTGGCTTCGTCCACTTTAAAAACACACATCTGATGGAGAGCGACGCCCCTGTGATCAATAAATCTGAGTCAGAGTCCAAAGAATCGATAAAAGGCAACGAAAAAAGAAATGGCAAGAAACTCATCGTGAGGAGTGGTTGCTAAGGCAACAGCACTGATTTGGTTTTATACTGAGAGAAAACGGTCGGCGGAAACTTCTGGATGTGTTTGAGGCTTGTGTGCTACACTACCCATGGTGCATTGCAGTGTGTTTTTTATTTTATTTCGTGGATTCAGTTTTCGCGGCATCGACTCTGAAATCATGGAGACATCCTTGGCCTTTGATTGGTTACAGAGCAACGTGGCTAAAACGTCCCAGAGCCCGTTCATGACGCCCCGCGGAGGCAGGAGTCCGATGGAGGCCGTCCCGGACGCCTGTGATCAATCCTAAACGCAGGCCTCCCATTGGATGATCAGTGTGTTAGCCTCCGTAGAAGAAGAGCGAAAAATGACTTCTCTTCAAAAAAAGCTGCTCCACGCCATCATTCTCTCGTTTTCCACTGTCACCATGGAGACAGGGTCCGTCACACCATTGCCGTGGGGACAGAGGGCAGGTACCTGGTGGTGCTGGTGGAGGTGGTCGGCTTGACCATGCTCGGGCTCGGGGTCCTGATGGTGGCGTAGGTGGTGACGGTGGGGGCGGGGCTCAGACGGGTGCACACGCTGCCGTGGGCGAACGCGTTCGACCGGCGTTCCGGGTTGCCGGGCTGCTGCTGCTGCTGCTGCTGGGTCTGAGGAAGCCTGCTGCCTTGTTGCCGCCCCTCCAGGATGTAAGTGAGCATCTGACCTTTGCCCTTCACACTGACCTGGCCGCGGCAGACAAAGTTGTAGTGGTCAGTGATGAGGCGGTAAACGTCTTCGGTCACCTGGGGGCGAAACAACAATGTTTATTTCCAACATGTTACACGTCTGTTCCCTGTCACGTTTATGAAGCTTTAGATTGGAAGCTTGTGGCAAGGGGCCGACCGTAGTGTCTCTGCTTTCTCCTTTTATGATTGCTGAGGATGAGCCGTTCTCTGAGGCCCTCCTCTCAGCTCAGGGGCCCCTGCCTGCCTTGTCCACCCTGTAGCAACACCCTGCTACAAAAGAACTACAGAACTGTACCTGTATCTTTCCTTGTACTCCAGTACTGTCCATCCTGCTGGCCACGTTCACCGTGTTCCCCCAGATGTCGTACTGAGGCCTCCTGGCTCCAATCACTCCTGCCACCACTGGACCCACATTGATACCTGGAATCAGTCCACAACATCTGGGTCATCAGTTCTGGAGTTTGTCTACATTTATTCCAGATTGTAGAAAATGTGTCATTTTCATTAGAAGCTATAGAATTGATTTTGTCCAAGAACACTTCAGCATACAGACAAGAGGAGCCATGGATCAAACCATCGACCAACTAGTTAGTGGCTCTATCTCCAGAGCCACAGGTATCAGTATCCAGAATCATAAATTGTGATGTTGAAGTTAATTGTCCCATCGTGCAGGAGGAAACTTTGTGCCATGACTTTTGAGGTGAACGCTCCAGATCAGTTCATTAGTTCTGAGTGGTTTCCATTATCTGTTTATTACTAAATCACGTGCATGTAAACTAGTGTGTGACTGATCTTTATTTTCTGCAGGACATCAATCCACCAACTCCACAGTTTTGGGGGTTCCATAAGTGTGGACTGAAATATGGCCCATGTTTGCTTCACTGCACTTTCTGGAAATGTGCATGTCGTCTTACGCAAATTACCGAAAGTTTCTGCGATGTGGGACATACATGGAGCCCCACAGTCTGCAGACAGGATGGCACTGTGTACACCAGGCTACACTGGGATTAAACACGGGCTCCTGTCGCAGGCTCCCCACAGGATACCCAACACAATGGAACCTAGAACTTCAGGTCTCGCTGTGACGAGCTTCCTGCAGGGGAGCGCTCTTTCTGTGATGCATTTCCTGCCAAACTTACCGACACTGAGCATCGACAGTGTCCAGAGCAAATAGGTCAGGAGTTCTAACACCGATGTTTATATAGACCCATGTATGTATATCTGTGTGTGTGTGTGTGTGTGTGTATTTTCTCTCACCTACTCTCAGGACAAAGTCGTTGTAAGACTGGTAGTTGATGGCGTCCAGGACGTCAAACATCTCGATGGCAAAATCTGACACTGTGCATAAATGTGAGGTGATGGACTTCTTTGCCTGATGATCAATGAAACACAAGAAAACTCACTAATCATGTGCATCTGCTTCCTGACGTGATTGTACGTATTATTATCATCTACAACCGCAGTGAAAGCATCACGGCCGACTGTTAGGTTTGTGTAAAGTTTTGCAGAAGTTGTTTGTCAGCTTTGCAGGATTTAAAGAAACTTTATGAATGTGAAATATGCTGACGCCACAGGGGCCAGTAATCCCTCACAGAGGATTTGTGGAGTGAAACGTGACAATGTTCTGAATGTCAACACCCGGAATATAACTACCTGAGAAAACCAGGCCTCTCAAAAATTGAGTGAAAAACACATTTTTAAAGGTGCTAATACGCTGTAAACACGTACAAAACAACTCACAAAGCATCTAAATATAGCTACTGTACCTTGGAGGCAGTCGTAGGAACCAGCCCGACTGCAGCCATGTACGTGCTGCCGATGGTCTTGATTTTCTCGATGTCCCTGTAACACTCTTTATCCATCAGCTGGAAGGAAAGAAAGAAGAGGAGCAAATCCTTGAATTGTCAGTTTGCATTCATACATATTATAATGTGTCAGCAGACTAAAGTGAATTAATGCTTCGTGTTGCTGAATAAAGATTCCTGCAGGACAAAAAGTCATCTGTGAGTTAATAAACTTTGAGAATTACAGTATTGAGTTCATATTGCACCAGATCTTTAGATTCTTCAAACGCAGAACACGAAACCTGACTTTAAGAAGCTTTTTCATCACCTCATCGAAGTCAGCGATGATCTCATTGAGGAGCCTCAGACACTCGACTCCCATGTTGTTTCCGTCCAGCTCGATGTAGAAGTCGTTGAAGTTGGCGATGGAGGCGAACAAGACGCCAACCTGAGCGTAGGACTGGTAGTACAGGTCCTGGAGGAGAGGAGGGGAGGTTTGGGTTCTGGTCAGAGTGGGGCTGAAATTCGGCACATTAAAGGGTCAGTTCACCCAAACAGCAAGGAAACATTCCGGAACAAAATAATCTCGTGTTAAAAGCTCACTCGCTTGTTTTCAGCCACATATTGAACAGCAACAATTTAACAATTTTTTGGGGGTTAACTGATAAATGAAGCTGAGCAACTGAGCAACAAAGATTAAAACTCTGTCCATCCCCTTTAAAAAGCTGCTCATGTTAATACATAGGACAGATGAGTCGCAGGTGAACACTGAGAACGATGTTTCCATCGGCAGCAGAGTCCCACTGTGTTGTGTTAGGAAAACAGTGTATGGGTGAACTTCAGCCCAGAGGAAAGAGAGGAAGTCTTTCTATACACCGTAGCTCAATGGGGTCACCAGTGTGCCGGGAACATACTTCCTGTTCCCAGTGTTTACTAGTCTGAGCCTCAGATGATCCCTGCGTCGTCTGATGCGTGGCCCATTGATTGTTGAAGGATAGAAACTGCTTCATCTTCTTACTATTGTTAATGTGCAGCAGTTCTTGGTTCACGTGAAGACTGAAAACCAACAGTGGTTTTAACTGACTAACCAGAACACAGTGTCGTCTGTGTGGCCCAAAGCATGAAAGACAGACGACAAACTGCTGCATTTTGGGTAATGTAGGAACCAGAGTTTCAGGAGCTTTACAAACTAGAAAGCCTGATCATTTCAGCCTCTGCAGCTTTGACATTTAGCTTTGCATCAGAAGATCAAGGTTCTTGCAGTTCTTGACGTCATCATGCAACAACTTAGCCCCGATTTGATTCTAATATGTTAAACAGGCTCAATTCTGGATTGCAACGTCAAAGCCGTGTTCTAACTACGGTTCGGCTCCATCGAACGTTTCAATTACACAATCACATTGTGAGCTATTGTAAGACTTCAGTGCAACCACAATAAAAGAAAGGACTGTGTTTTGTATTTGTAGGAGATGAAAATTAAGAAGCAAGATTGAGGGTATTTGTCACATTTACATGCTTTTATCCTGTTTAATGGAC